TCTTCTCAACCATTCCCAGCATTAGGCTCTTCTCCAGTGAGTCCTTCCTTCTCATTAGGTGGACAAAGTATTTGACAGACATAGACATCACTTAACAACAGACATTGGGACTAGAATTTCCATTGCTAAGAAATATGATTGCAATCGATCTTATTGCTTAGTACAGCAATTCCTGCACTCCCTGTTGTCATTGTTAAGCAACAGTTGTGGGTTGCTCAGCAATGAGCTCTTTTCAATTTCCTGCTGACTTTCAAAAAGCAAAGTTAGTGGGGAAGCCCTCAGAGAAATTGCAACTCCCAAGCAGTTTACAGGCAGACAGTGGACAGGTAAATGGCTGCTGCCAGGCTGGGGACATGACACCAATGGTATCTATTAATTCTATTTTGAAATATAGTTCATTTCCACTAATATTTCATGCAGCTGTCCTTCCCCATGCATTCAGAGAATACGAAGTCATCTGATCTTGTATGCTATTCCAATTCCCATCAATCGTGAATTTTGCCCATATGGGAAGTGGCTTTCCTTTGGTAATTATCCAAGGTGAATGCATACTTTGGCCCAGTTTGGACATTTGTTCACGTGGAAGTTTTTTGCCCATAACAAAAAACCTTCACCCCAGAACACCTGCTATCTGTATCAAACACACACAGCACATTTGTTATCGTTGCCCATATATGTTTTTGCTCTATGTGATGTGGAATCTGTGTAATATCTATATCTTCTCTAGTCCACTGTGGAATCATCTGAACTCCCATGTAATTCAATCAGTTTCAGCATTTGTCTTTGTGTCCTCACAATCCACTTAGAAATAGAAAATTGCTACTTAAGCAATTACTAGAAAACATACTGATATCATCAAGTGAAGAAAGCAAGCTTCTTTGAATTAAAAAAAAAGAAGCAGAACAAGAACAATCCTTTACTTCATTCACTTTGCTTCATGAAATTCTCTAGTTGGGTTTTATCTATATTTTCTCTATTTGGGTAGCCTGTTATAGAGTAAAATATTTAAAGAAACCCACCTAAGCTGTCCAGACACCATGATAGCTACTCGGTCGCACAACACCTCTGCTTCCTCCATGTGGTGAGTTGTCAAAATGACTCCTTCATCCTTCTCCTGCAGCATAGTGCGAATTGCTCTCCTGTTGACAACAAAAGGCCGAGGAAGTTTAAGCAACCTTGAAGCAGCTCCAAAGGTCTGTTCTGGCCATTGCCATTCTGTTTTGATCCTGCATAACTGATGGGCACATCTTCCATGGCAGAAAACAAAATATCCCCATCTAGTCCCAAATTAATTTGCATGAAGGAATTGTAAAGAGGGATAAGAAAACCTGCAACTTTTTCTTCTTACCACTCCCCCCCCCATGGAAAATGACCAAAGTCTCTCCAAGGGAGACTCAAGAGTTTTCTCTTTTAACATCATGAGGAGAAGACAGAAGAGAAGCTGCCATTTAGGAGGAAACCAGTTTTCCTCAGCATGAGTCAGATTCTTTATCTGCACAGACGGGAATATAACATTTTCCAACGGTGGCTGAGATATTCCAGAGCAGGCCTGTCAAACTGGCGGCCTGAAGGCCGGATGCATCACGCACAGGCCACACCCACCCTGCCTCTGCAAAGGTAAAAAATGTCATGATACGTCACACAATACATCACGTGACGTGATCAAGTTTGACACCTGTGTTCTAGAGGAATGAATGGGAAGTATTTCCTCTTGCAATATTGTCAGATGCTTTCTCTGTATTCAGGTGTAAGAAGTAATGTTTAGTCCTAGGCTTTAGATATTTTTTTTGTAGAAGATGTCCCCACCCTACACAATAGAATTAAAAGAGAAAGGAAGGTGGGAAATGGGGAGACTGGAATTTGTCATTTTTATAAGAGTGCAACTCTTATTCTAAAGAGGGAATCCCTGAGTCACTTACCACACTAGGCGCTTCCCTTTTGGATCCAGGCTTGTGGTTGGTTCATCCAAAAGCATCAGAGTGGGATTACCCAACATGCTCAGAGCAAAGCACAGCTAAATTGTAGACAATGAATCTTATCTTAGAAACCACAATATTTCATGCAAACACAGAACAGAAATGTGAAGACATAATTTTAAAAAGGTATTTGCAAAGTGCTTTTCAACTACACATTTTTGAATCTCTGAAGTTCCACAGGAATATGTTAGAAAAAAAGACTGCTAAAATGTTCAGTAGGCTTCAATCAACCAATTCAATCAACCAAGAAAATGTCAAAAGATCTTGTTACTTTTATATGAACTTATCATGAACCAGGATGAATAACGTGTTTATTAATAATGAATGCAGGTGCCTTAAGTTGGAAACGCATAATCAGCACCAGGAAATAAAAAATGTTCATTATTCCTCAACACTCTACTAAATCCTAATACTAACATTCCTCATCTTTCACAGTTTGCTCTAGGCAGCTGCACTCAAAACAAAACAAAATTATGAAATATGACATATGATATCACATTTCCTGCCATGTATTATTTAGAATCACACTAATACTTCTATGATGCTCCTATAGAAATATAGCAGAGTTTGGAATATTTTACAGTGTGCATGAATCAAGTTAAACCTTAATATATGAGAATAAATTTTTGAACTTACTAGACGGTAATTTCCCAATCCATAATTCTTAATTGCATGCTACGCAGAACACAACATGTGTTAAGCAAAGTCAAAGTTTAATATGTCAGTATTGTTTGACTGGATGCTCAACGCTGTTCTTTGATTTTCCAGCCATTCATTTTATTATTCCCACTGTCCAACAGATTCAAAAAATGTAATATTTCCAAGCAAAACATGAGCTGATCACATGCCATATAGGATTGATGCTTGACAAAGACTGAATCCAAGTTTCTAGGGCTCGAAGCATGGCTATCCATGCCATTAGAGTTGCCATACTGTACAGTATTAGGCATTCTCTTCTTGCAACCATCTTATGGAAATTGGCTTTCAAACAGCACCAACAAGGCCTGGACTTTCACACACACATACAAAAAGAGATCACATAATGCAAGAAATAACAAAGAGCAGCAACCCAATTGATGCTGCTACCAAATGTTCATCAAACCTTTAGTATTAGTCCTTTAGTACCAGAGTAACAAAATACCGGACTTACTTTTCTGGTTAATCCAGCTGCTAAAGTCTTTGTTGTCTTTTTAAAATGCCCTCGGAGTTGTAGAGCTTGAGATATTCTAAAAAAACAAAGCAGAACTTATAATTTTTGATCTGTTCTGCAATTGCAAACGTGTTAAGAAAATAAAAGACATTCCATTGTAATTTTGGATCACGTGTAGAAATTTCAATTGTAATGTTTAAGAGCTGCAAAAGGACAAATCAAAACTGAAAATAACCACTTAATAACTTATAGCAACTAATATATTTCAGTTTTGAATATACAAACTGACTTCCATTAATAACAAATCTTGTGGTAGGAATCTAATTATTCAAAAGGATTCTTTGTCCATACCGATTAATGGCCATCGTAGCATCGTCCTTCCTGATCCCTTTTATGGCTGCAAAAATCTCCAAATGTTCTTTCATGGTCAGGTTGGACCAGAGCGCATTCTCTTGAGGACAGTAGCCAAGAGCAGCATTTTCCTCTGCCACAGCTTCATCAGCTCCTTTAATCTGCACCTGATCCAAATAGGTAGCATAAGAATTCCATTGGTTTTTGTCCAATGTAAGAATATATTTTGAAATATCAGTAAGGTGACAAGGAATGTATATGAAATGCAAGTATTCTATACCCAAATAATGCATTCAGAACTAAGTCCAGGAAAGATGAAGAGACATAGCATAGGGTTACATCTAATATCAAACTGCAGCTATTAACTAGAGCAAAGATTTGACGGACAACAACATATGAAACTTCACAAGTTTTTGTGTCTCCAGTCACTACTTCCATTGATAAATTAACACCCAGATTGTTTTTTAATATTCGCATCTGTAGCTTTCTAATATACTAGTTCGAAGATATTTCATTTTCTTTATTCTCCTAAATTAAATAAGTTTTACAATGCAATATAAATAGGAGGAAGAGCAAAAAATTCTCAAACTTTACTTTTTGTTCTTTCCAACTCAATGATATAGAGAATGAGAAATGGACTCTGGTCTCTGCTACCCATTGATCTTTTTTTCAGAAGGAAGGGACGGAGGGAGGGAAGGAGGGAGGAAGGAAGGATACAGAGAAAAAAACATTTCACATGGAATAAACTCCCAATTCTCCCAGTGGGTGAGTCAGCTGGGCAACATTCTTAGCCACATACTACATCCTTCCTCCTGATCATATGGCCCAGAGAGGAATATATGGAGGCTACCCACTCCTCTCCCCTATATAGGCACATTCACATACAAAGATGTCACACCAAGAGAAAACAAAAACATAGAAGACAGACACAATACATTACTTGGTTATACAGGAAAAAATTCCAGATGTTCCCTATGGCCTCAACTGGAAAAAGGGCTGGGAAGAATTCTAGAAGTTATGCTCTGCAAGTTCTTTCTTGTTAAAATGGTTAAAGTTACGTTTACCTGTCCTGCACTTGGCTCTATTTTAATGAAACTATTTTACTTTGTAGGAGAAGTTTTAGGGCTTCTGGGACCCAATGGAGCTGGTAAAAGTACAACAATTAACTTGATAATAGGAGACACAGAGCCAAGTGAACTGATAAGAAATGAATTAAGAAGAACTCAGCAGAAACTCATAAGAATACAAACTGGTTTATTACATGATCAATTTAATGAATATTGGAGTATCTTGGTTTATCTTCTTGAGCTTTATTCAAAATATCAGCCAATAAAATCTTAAGGCAAATAGGTATTGTACTCAAATGTCGCTGGAAAAGAACTGTTAAAAATGAATGTTCTCCTCTGACAGTTGTAGCCTCCCACTGCACCCCAACGTATACAATTCATTCAACTTCCTGTTGTAAAGATTGAGGAAAACACCCAGAAGGAGGAAGGAAAAAGAAAATTCCATTGATTATATGAGGTTTCACCTACATACTACATGGATGTACACCTTTAACACAAGTCTTACTTACTTCCAACTACATGCACACTACTATATTATAAGAGAGAAAATGAAAAATATTCTATTTTTGCCTTGGTTAAAATTTTTTATTTTAAGTTATTCTCTAATATATCAGTCAGATATGATAAATCAGTTAGGATTATTGAGAAAGTAATAGCAAAAAAGTGAATCCCACCATCCCAGCTCTGTTCTAAAATAGATAAAAAGATGTATATGTTGTGGTGGGATTGGATTGAAACCTAAGATTTAGAAATGAGAAATTGGTGTATGCTATCAAAACTTGCTATAAAGTGCATTATTTTCTTGTTTTCCTTTTTGGACTACTTATTACAGGTGGCCTCGACTTACAACCATTCATTTAGTGACTGTACAAAGTTATAATGGCACTGAAAAAAAATGACATGCCCATTTTTCACACTTACGACTGTTGCAGCATCCCCATGGTCATGTGATCAGAATTTGAATGTTTGGCGATGGGATCACATTTATGACGATTATTGTTCCCCAGGGTCATGTGATCACCTTTTGCAACAAGGGAAATCAAAGGGGAAGCCAAATTCACTTCACAACCATGATACTAACTTAACAACTGCAGTGATCCACTTACCAACTGTGGCAAGAAAGGTCATAAATTTGGGCAAAACGTATTTAACTGTCCTGCTTAGTAACACAAAGTTTGGGCTGAATTGTGGTTGTAAGTCAAGGACTAACTATATTCTTTTTGTTAAGCTTCCATTAAAGAATAAGTAAAATTCGTTCTTCTTTCCAATGAATTTTATGTTTTCATGGTATGGATAGGCATTACCTATCCTCATACACTGAAGCAAGGGGAAACCAAAGTTCAGCCTTACTGTATGCTGTGTATTTTATTCACATACCCTGGTCTCAATCATCTCTCCAAAGTGGAGACTGAGAAAAGGTTTATTGTTTCACCTTACTCTGAGAACAGCTCAACTGAATTCTGTGGTTCAATAATAGAATTTGATGGGAAATATGTCACATTTAATCTACCTTTACAGATCATTTGCTTGGTGATATTCTGAGCATTATTATCCCTAATTTGGCCTTAGTGTTTCAAACCCCACAATGCTTCTCTTACTTAATTTTTGCTGATCAATGACTAGAGTAGATTTACAATAGAGACTGAGTTAAGAATATAATTCATTCCAATCAAACCTTTTTTAACACAAAAGGAGACGTTTCTGGTAGCCACTTTTTTTTCTTCCTTCTTCTTGAAACAAGGAGAGGAGCAAGCCTTCCCGTGTTTGTATTCCTTGCGCAAGTTATGGACAATGAGAACTGGTTTCTAAGCAGAGAGAAGATATTGCTTACAATATATACACATGGCCATTTTGTACTCTTAGTTGATCTAAGTATGAGCTAATCTCTTGGTGAATCACAGAAACAAGTAAAATTGGCTACTTCTTATCAAGAGTATGTCCTTCAACTTATTTCTGGAAGCAGATTCCCAGTGTGTTCAGACAGATCTTTCCCATTGTCTGCTTGCCATATTATTATCTATCTATGTGAACTGTTATCTAAACAATAATTCCTTAAGCTGGTTTGGACAATAGAACAATAACTGTGTCTGTGCCTCAGCCATGGTGGTTTATAGACAATACCTAGATCCCACTTGTTTCAAACCTTCCATCAATTTCTTAATTTTTATTAAATGGTTTTGGACATTGTGGTGTGCAATCTACTTTGCAATCTCTTTCAAATGCTCTTCGTGCATGTTGTTCCTCTTATGGCATTTGATTTCATTAAATAGCTGCTTGTTGCTTCTTGATACTGGGTTCCTGGAGGATTGTGCTATACATTAATTAAGTAAAAAGATTTTTGGCCTCCATCAATACCTCTCCATTTTAATAATTTGAATCTTTCATCATCAAACACCAGCACAAGTCAAAAGCATCATCAAAAGCATCTCTTTTGGGGAGACTCAGCTTATGTCCATACCCTTCTCTGTGTCTAATCCTGTCTGCGCCTAACACTTTGTTTACTTTATACACAGAACTATCCAGGTGTTTTTGAACTCTGGTGTTTTTTTTTACTTCAATAGTGCATCACTATCCTTGAGTCAGTCCAGGTAAATATTTATTTGTAGTGTAAAAGTGTTAGGTAGGATGATATGCAGGAATGTGCATTTAGCTATATTTCATAAGCAAATCAAATATATTCTTGGAATAAGTTATACATATATTTCAAAATAAGAAAAGCCCAATAGTTATGCTATACCTCTCCTTCATTGACAGAAGCCAGTGCACTCTCAACTCTTGTCCTTTCATCTAGGACGTCTCTGTCATCTGCTTGGCTGAGCTCTTCAGGATTCTGATGGGTTCTTTTTCTTTGTGGAGAAATCCTAGAGATCAAAGATATAACAACAGGTCTCAAGTGATTTGATATCAAAGAATAAATGGTAATTTCAATTAGGAAGGCTTTCATATGCTCAACTGACTAATGAATAATGTATCACAGCTAGTAAGGTAGCAGAATGTTCAGCGCTTCCAAGCCATGTTGAGATTAAATAAGAAATGATTGGGAAAATCCCTCAGCAAAATGACTATGGGGAAGACCTTAGAAAGGGGAAAAAAACTGAAACATTAAGTGATTTCTGGCACAGAACATCTGTGTCTACAAGAAGTAGAGGGCTTTTGTCACCTTCTTCTTCCCAGGTTGTACCTGGCCTTCCACCCATACCGGCTGAATACCACCAATGATTTATTGCCATAGAAGGTGATCCACCAGCCACAATGGATCTATTAATAAATTGTATCCCTTCATTTTGTTTGCATTTTTTTCATTATGAGGCACATGACACATTTATCATATCCAAATTCCACACATTAAGTGATTTCTGGCATAGAACGTCCGTGTCTGCTAGAAGTAGAGGGCTTTTCGTCACCTGCTTCTTTCCAGATTGTAACTGGCCTTCCACCCACCTCTCCCCACAATCAGAATCACATTTTGTTGACCTTTTTGCATTCTTAATCATTGAGCTACCATAAATGAGCAGCCAACATCCAAATGACCACTTCATAGTGGCAACAAGTTGGCATTTATTGCCATAGAAGGTGATCCACCAACCATGATGGATCTATTAGTAAATTTTGTTTGCACATTTTTTCATTATGAGGCACATGACACATTTATCAAAACCAAATTCCACTCTGTTATTCTCATTAAATATATTCACAATTGAAGGAAACTGAGTTCCATTTTCTGGTTTCCCACATAGCTTCAGATCATTCACATATAACAGATGGAATGTTTTTCTACTTTGCTTCAATGGTTCATATTGAAATGGTGGTGGTGCGGTGGTTAGAATGCAGTATTCCAGGCTAATTCTGCTGACCACTGATTGCCAGCAATTCAGCAGTTTGATTCTTTCTAGGTCAAGGTTGGCTTCATCTTCTGTCCTTCCTAGATTGGTAAAATGAGGACCCAGATTGTTGGAGGCAATATGCTGACTCTGTAAACTGCTTAGTGGGGGCTGTAAAGCACTGTGAAGTGGTGTATGAGTCTAAGTGCTATTGCTGTTGCTCTTTTATTTAATAAAAGGTTGAAATTTACATTGTGTAAAGGAGCATTTCTATAAAATAAACATGTGGTACGTGGTTCTAGAGAAATGATCTGGAATGTATAAAGACAGCCAAAATGTGTGTTGGAAATGTGAGAAAACATGAATGGATATTTTATCATGCATGGTGGATGTGTAAAAAACAGCTTCAAAAATAGATTCAAAATACATACTTTGATATAGATGATTTTAAAGATTAATGTTAGAAAAAAAAAGTCATGGAAGATCATTATAATATATGATGACCACAGCAGAATTATTACATACACTACCTACTATGGAGGAATAACTAGGAAAGTTAATAATACTTTACTGAAATAGATAAATTGACTTCTTTGATTAGAAAAAAATATATTATCTCATGTATTGGTGAGTGGAAGCCTCTTCTGGACTTTTTAAATAAAAATGGGGGAAAAAAAGCTTCTGACAAAGAGGACTATGATGTAACTTTAGAAAGAGAAAATAAAATTTCTACTTATAACCACTGTAAAGAATATTGGAGGCCACTTCATCTTTTTTCCTTTCCTTTCTACTTTTTTGAAGTTTTTTTCTTGCACTTTTTGCTTTCTTTCATTTTCTTTTTTTCTTCCTTGCTTTATATTACTTTGTATTTGTTTTTAACTTCTTTAAAAGTTTTAATAAAAATATATGTAAAAATATTATTTTATTCATAGTATGAATGAGAGGTATCACTTAGGTTTCCCTCCTCAAAATCCTGCTGTATTGTGTCATCAAGTCTGGGGATTGTTTCTAGGAGGGAACATAAATTGCATAAAACATATATACAAAATATTAGTATTTTTTCTAATTATTAATTACTATTAGTCAAGGCTTATTATTTTAATTCTTCTGAGTACAATAGCCAATATTGTACTTTTGCTGTGCATCTTTTGCCATGTTAAGGGGGTTGTGTGCTTCAATGACCTCAGG